TATCCCTATCTTGGCACCGGAGCACGAAGCTGGCGAGTACATAAACCGCAAGGGGTACTTTTCGATAGTGCTGCAAGCTCTGGTGGATCACAAGGGACGTTTCACCAACATCAACGTGGGATGGCTGGGAAAGGTACATGACGCTTGCATCTTCAGGAACTCTGGTCTGTTTCAAAAGCTGCAGGAAGGGACTTTATTCCCAGAACAGAAAATAACTGTTGGGGATGTTGAAATGCCTATAGTTATCCTTGGGGACCCAGCCTACCCCTTAATGCCATGGCTCATGAAGCCGTATACAGGCAGCCTGGACAGTAGTCAGGAGCTGTTCAACTACAGGCTGAGCAAGTGCAGAATGGTGATAGAATGTGCATTTGGACGTTTAAAGGCGCGCTGGCGCAGTTTACTGACTCGATTAGACCTCAGTGAAACCAATATTCCCACTGTTATTACTGCTTGCTGTGCACTCCACAATATCTGTGAGAGTAAGGGGGAGACGTTTATGGCGGGGTGGGAGGTTGAGGCAAATCACCTGGCTGCTGGTTACGCGCAGCCAGACACCAGGACGGTTAGAAGAGCACAGGGGGGCACGGTACGCATCAGAGAAGCTTTGAAAACCAGTTTCATGACTGGCCAGGCTACGGTCTGAAAGTTATGTTTGTTTCTCCTTGATGAAACCCTCTGCCCCTTGGTTCAGTCTACTTCCCTGTAAGCTAACCACCCTCCTGTCCTCCCTTCGATCACCGCTTGCAGAGGCAATAAAGTCATTGTTGCTTCACATTCATGCATTCTTTATTCATTCATCACACAAATAGGGGGGTGACTACCAAGGTAGCCCAGGAGGGCTAGTGGAGGAGGGAAGGAAAATGCCACACAGCACTTTAAAAGTTTACAACTTTACAATTTATTGAATGCCAGCCTTCTGTTTTTTGGGCAATCCTCTGTGGTGGAGTGGCTGGTTAGCTGGAGGCCCCCCCACCGCATTCTTGGGCATCTGGGTGTGGAAGCTATGGAACTTGGGGAGGAGGGCGGTTGGTTACACAGGGATTGTAGTGGCAGTCTGTGCTCCAGCTGCCTTTGCTGCAGCTCAACCATACACTGGAGCATACTGGTTTGATCCTCCAGCAGCCTCAGCATTGAATCCTGCCTCCTCTCATCACGCTGCCGCCACATTTGAGCTTCAGCCCTCTCTTCAGCCCGCCACTTACTCTCTTCAGCCCCTCACCTCTCCTCCCGGTCATTTTGTGCTTTCCTGCACTCTGACATTATTTGCCTCCACGGATTCGTCTGTGCTCTGTCAGTGTGGGAGGACAGCATGAGCTCAGAACATTTCATCACGAGTGCGTTTTTTTCTTTTTTCTTTCTGATCTTCATTAGCCTCTGGGAAGGAGAAGATCCTGTGATCATTGAAACACATGCAGCTGGTGGAGAAAAAAAAAGGGACAACGGTATTTAAAAAGACACATTTTATAAAACAGTGGCTACAGTCTTTCAGGGTAAACCTTGCTGTTAACATTACATACATAGCACATGTGCTTTCGTTATAAGGTTGCATTTTGCCTCGCCCCACCGTGTGGCTACCCCCTCAACCCTCCACCCTCACCGTGGCTAACAGCGGGGAACATTTCTGTTCAGCCACAGACAAACAGCCCAGCAGGAACGGGCACCTCTGAGTGTCCCCTGAAGAAAAGCACCCTATTTCAACCAGGTGACCATGAATGATATCTCACTCTCCTGAGGATAACAGAGAGATAAAGAACGGATGTTGTTTGAACGCCAGCAAACATACACTGCAATGCTTTGTTGTACAATGATTCCTGAGTATGTGTTACTGGCCTGGAGTGGTAAAGTGTCCTACCATGGAGGAAGCAATAAGGCTGCCCTCCCCAGAAACCTTTTGCAAAGGCTTTGGGAGTACATCCAGGAGAGCTGCGAATGCCAGGGCAAATTAATCCTTTCACATGCTTGCTTTTAAACCATTTATAGTATTTTAAAAGATACACTCACCGGAGGTCCCCGCCTGCCGGGTCAGCCTTGGGTGGTTTCAGGGGGTACTGACTCCAGGTCCAGGGTGAGAAACAGTTCCTGGCTGTCGGGAAAACCGGTTTCTCCTCTTGCTTGCTGTGAGCTATCTACAACCTCATCATCATCATCGTCTTCGTCCCCAAAACCTGCTTCCGTGTTGCCTCCATCTCCATTGAAGGAGTCAAACAACACGGCTGGGGTAGTGGTGGCTGAACCCCCTAAAATGGCATGCAGCTCATCATAGAAGCGGCATGTTTGGGGCTCTGACCCGGAGCGGCCGTTCGCCCCTCTGGTTTTCTGGTAGGCTTGCCTCAGCTCCTTAAGTTTCACGCGGCACTGCTTCGGGTCCCTGTTATGGCCTCTGTCCTTCATGCCCTGGGAGATTTTGACAAAGGTTTTGGCATTTCGAAAACTGGAACGGAGTTCTGATAGCACGGATTTCTCTCCCCATACAGCGATCAGATCCCGTACCTCCCGTTCAGTCCATGCTGGAGTTCTTTTGCGATTCTGGGACTCCATCATGGTCACCTCTGCTGATGAGCTCTGCATGGTCACCTGCAGCTTGCCACACTAGCCAAACAGGAAATGAGATTCACAAGTTCGCGGTTCTTTTCCTGTCTACCTGGCCAGTGCATCTGAGTTGAGAGTGCTGTCCAGAGCGGTCACAATGGAGCACTCTGGAATAGCTCCCGGAGGCCAATACCATTGAATTGTGTCCACAGTACCCCAAATTCGACCCGGCAAGACCGATTTAAGCGCTAATCCACTTGTCAGGGGTGGAGTAAGGAAATCGATTTTAAGAGCCCTTTAAGTCGAAATGAAGGGCTTCATCGTGTGGATGGGTGCAGGTTTACCTTGATTTAACACTGCTAAATTCGACCTAAAATCCTAGTGTAGACCAGGGCTAAGATTACCCACACTGATTTGCCAGTGTACCTTAAGATTTGCAAAGTCATTACTGATCTGCTATTCTGGGTTTTTCATCAACACAGATTGGCAATTATACCAAACTGGTAGTACTTCTGGTGCTGAAAATCATCTCCTATGACTAGAGAACAAAATGCAAACTAAAATCAGAAGTGAATTTAGGCAAGTCTGAGAAAAATCTAGGGGCCTGATTCTATTCTTATTAACATGTATATCAAGAGTAATGCCGCTGAAGTCAATAAAATTATACCAGTTTTACCCCAGTATAAGTGATTAGAGAATCAAGCCCTAAGAATGTCAAAGAAAGTCTAGAGGGTATCTAAGATATCGTTATTTATACCTTCCTCTAGGTCCCTCAAACAGGTTTGTTATATTTATGCTCCATCTAAACTCCCTTCCACTCACTTCCACTTATTATATCTTCAACCCCTTTACATGTTAGTTCTGAATCTGCCTACCTAACCCAACCAAGTCTAAGGGAATCTAAATTGGCTCAACTCTCACGAAAAGGGGCCAGAAGACAGGAGTGTAACACAAAAAGAAACAGGGTGTGTGTAATAAAGTAAGTTGAAGAGGCCCCCCCCTTCCTTTAACTTAAACTTTTTTATGCCTTCTTCTGAATGTTCAGCTTATAAATTACATCAGTTTAAAGTCTTACACATTAATAAGTAGGTCTAAGGAAGTCTGAGTTTTAGGGTGACAAAGTTAAAGTAAGGGAGTTTAACTTATACCTCCTTACTCCTTAGCTCTGAATTTGGCCCTGAAACAGACCTCAAAATTCATTATTACTATTTTATAGTTCTATTACAGTAGCATCCAGAGTCTAAATCGTAACTGGGGACTCATGGTGCTAGGCACTCTAAAAATACTTAGAAAGACACAGTCCCTGCGTCAAACACCTTACCATAGCTTAGTGACACATGAAGGCTGGGAGGGTAGAGATATATGTCCAGATATATACACTTGGCTATATTTTGCATTTTATAATTGAGTGCAAACAAATCCTACCTCCCCACCCGAGCCATAACTAACTGGCTGATTTCCAATAGGCATTGAGACCTAGGTGAGTCTCAAAGAGAGATGTGATGGAACAGAGGATAATGACCTTACTGATCAGATCAAGAAGGGAATTGTGTGCTTGGAGGGCAGCACAGAAGAAGACACAGAGATGTTTGTGAGAGAAGCTAACAAACTGACAGATGGGGCTGTTCTTGGCAGAGTGAAAACTGCATGGGAGGCAACTTGGTAAGAGCAGACATGTAGGGATGGACAGTGTGGTGAAGACACTTGAAAGTGAGGACTTCAACTTGGTGTAGTTAAAGGAGGCCCAATGGAAGGATTAAATGGTGTTTCTGTGGTCAGAGTGACATACAGAATAGATTATTTCATCAGCTCCGTTTAGTATGAACCCAGGAAGGTGACGTAGGTGTTAGGGAGGGATGGGGAGGTTGATGTCACAATAATCAAGACTGGAAATGATGAAGAGTGTCTACATAAGAGGGTTATCTCAGTTACCAACATTGAACCCAACACGCCACAGGTGAGAAGCTAGTTTGTCACATTCCGCCTTACTCTGTCTCTTAGAAAACTTACACTCAAGGTATATGCTTTTATAAATGTTAAGTACAGTCTTATCTTTCAGCTAACTCTCATGTTAAATCAAGATGTGCCTCCAAATCCTGGTGTTCTCATTTTTTCTTGCAGTGAGCCAACAGAATGCTGAACGATAAAATAAAGAGACTGGAAAATTTTAGTTATCAGTTTCCCACATCATTTCAAGCACCGCAGAATGCAACTCATCTCAGTATGGTTACCATGTTTTAAGGCTCTATTAAGTTTATAATCAATATTTTGATTCATCGGCTTCCAAAGACAAACTTATTGACGTGGGGGAGCTTTTCAGCACTTTTGCACTGAGCATAACATTAATCTTGGTATTCAGAATGAAAAGATGGCTCTTCCTCTTCGCAATAATTCTGCTGTAGATCGAGTGTTCGTGCAAATAGTTTTACATGCTTAGAAAATGCATCTTTATAATTTTCTCTCTCTAGGTGGGGATGAGATCTCGAAACCAAGGTGGAGAAAGCTCTCCTAATGGGCATTTCTCCAGTTCTAAGCCCATTGTCAGCAATGCAGAGAATGAAAACCTTCAGGAAGATGCCAAGAAACAGAACAAATCTCATCAAAAGGAAGAGGAGGTCATGGTCTCAGGGACTGTAAAACGACACTTAAAATCACCAGCACCTGGTGAACGAAAGAACAAGAAATCCATAGAACTTTCTAAAGAGGACTTAATCCGGCTCCTCAGTATAATGGAAGGAGAATTGCAGGTAAATAAAACATCCTCTCTCTTATATAACTCTTCTGTGTCTTCTCCTTGTTACACTCTTCTCTGCGGGTATGTTTGCCCTTGGAATTGGGGAGATAATTCCCAGCTCCAGGAGACGTACTCACGCTAGACGTATTCACACTAACCCTCACCAAGCTATTGTACTAAATATGGCATGTAGCCACAGCAGGGCAAGCAGTGGGACAGGCTAGCTGCCCTGAGTACCTGCCTGTGAGACATCCTAGGCAGACACTTAGGGCAGATAGCCCCTCCTGCTGCTCATGCTGCCATGGCTACACTATATTTTTAGCATACTTGCTCAGTAAGAGCTAGTGCGAGGATGTCTCTTGCAGTTATGCATCACACCCCCAGCTCCAAATGTAGATGTACCTTGAGAGACTTGGATCTCAACATTGGCACACAAATTTAAGACAAAGGACTCCAAAGGAGGAGTAATCACAAATGGGATTGAGTGGGTTGAGGTGTTTAGTGCAGAAGTCACTATTAAGTACAGCCTTATTGAAATCCTCATTAGTGATTTGCAGATACTAAAGTGGGAGGAGTTGCAAACACCAGTCAGAAGAGAAAGAGAAATTCTAAGAGGCCTAAAGAGATTAGGCATGTGGGCAGAAAACAACCAAATGAGATTCAGATGCAAACAAGTACAATGGGGGAAACAACCCAGAAGACAGTTATTCAATGCAAGGGAGAAACCTGGAAATCAGTAATGCTGGAAAAGAACTTGAGGTGACAGTGGGGCAATACATGAAACAATTTAGCCTTTTATACTGCACTTGTGTTTATATTTGTGAACCACAGCAACATTCCAAAAGCTATGCCAATTTTCCTGGCTGAGTTGACACATTTACCTAAAGATGGGATGGTGCTATAACAGGGGGAATGGGATTTCTTTTCATAGTGGCGTCCCCTCTCTGCATTTCTCCTAACAGTATCCATGTGCAGTTTAAATGAGGTCAGCTTTTTATCATCCACAGCCCCTTCTTTCCAGTGAACCACTATTACACAGCACTTTGTTATGCCCTGCTTTTCCTGCAAGCCACATTCGCTGGACTTTTCCTTTAGTTTTGGACTGATCCCCGTTGCCTTCCCGTTAATCCACTGGCAGGACACAATTATGTTGTGAGTGATCAACCAGTGAGAAACCTGGATTACACCACCACTGCAAAAATATCAGGCCTGAGCTCATTACTGAACACTATTATTCCATCCAGTATTTCATCACCAAAATACCAAGGCACAGTCTAAGGTGCATTGATTGGTTGCTTTCTTAGTAGATATGTATAAAAGAAAAATAATCTTGTCAGCAGAGAAGAGAAACCAGCTTTTTTTTTTTTCATTTAGCGGCAGAAACTAAATTGTTCTTTGGTTTTCAACTTTAATTTGTCACAAACAAAAGGCACCTTTCCAGAGGAATACAACTATAATTTTTCTATGACAAATGGAAATAAAGAGAATGCAATTCTGTCTGATTCAGTTTTACAAAAAGTCATGCTATTGCTTCTGGGGCAGAATTTCACGAGCCATGTGTACTGTTAAAAATGGGAAGATTTCACGTTGGATGAGATTTGCAACTATGTTTGAAAAGATCAGTGTTAATTTTTGCAAAGCAAAACTGTCACGCACAGCTGTCGTGTTGAATGCAGTCTGTTCTGATCAATCATTTAGCATATGTATAGTTTCCTGAAAGATTTAAGCAGAAATCAGTTCAATGGTTTGCATGCACCACTGATGCGGGAGGGATGAAGTACACTTCTGTGGTGAAGACACAAGCCTACGTGGCAGGAGATTTGCTTCTATTCTTGGCTCTGTTGTAGAATCCTGTCTAACTTTGGTTAAGTCACTTACAGCCTGATCCCCAGTGCTTAATTTGTGCTGGGGCTTGCCAGGACTCAGTCCCGGCACTGCTAGGCTTGGCAGTTCATAGCCCCAGCACCTCTGGGCTTCTGTAGACAGCGCTGCTGCCAGCCACAGCACAGATGTAAGGGTGGCAATACACCATACCATGCCACCCTTACTTCTGTGCTGCTGCAACGGCACTGCCTTCAGACCTAGGTGCCCGGTCAGTAGCTGCCACTCTCTGGCTGCCCAGCTCTGAAGGCAGCATCGCTGGCAGCAGCAGTGCAGAAGTAACAGTATCACCACGCAGCTTGAGCCCCGCCACCTCTTTCGTTACAAATTAAGCATTGCTGATCCTGCTCCCATTCACGTACATTCCTGTGGACTTCACTGGAGCCCAGCAGGGTCTTCAGTCTTTGTCTCTCACTTTGCATTGAGGGAGCAGAAAGATTAAAGGCCCATCCATCCACCCATTATCCTCATATGGCAACTGAGCACAGATGATGTGCACAGAGCTCAGATCATCATCTGAACTGCAGTAGCATCCAAAGTTCTCAGTCAAAATTGTAGTCCATTGTACTAGTCACTATTCAAACAAATGAATAGTCCCTGCCACACAGAGCTTAGAATCTACTGATACTTACCTACCCCACAAGAGGCCTGTGAAGCTAAATTTGTTCAAGTCTGTGAAGCACTTTGAGATCCTCAGGAGGAAGGTGCTATTGGAGTGGAAAGTATAAATTGTTAATCTGCAGGGTTTTTAATATAGCTTCAGAAACCAATTTGAATTATTTAACCAGTTATGCTAAATGCATTGAATTGTTAATGGAGTGGGCAGGCCAAAGAAGCCTGGCTTGAGATGAAGGTCTGGGCTTTGTGATTATAAATGAGGACATGCCAAAGAAGAATCATGCCAGGGTGAATATACTGGCATTACTCCCTGGCTGTCACAGTGACCTGCTACACTGTATCATTTTACGTATTTTCTTTTTCAGATGTTTATTGTCAACTGTAGTGGCTTGACTAGTGTTTTGATTCATAGAGCCAAATCAAACTCTGGGATTAGCTTGGTCTTCAAACCTTCTGGATTGCCCAAGTTACATTACTTAGCTGATCTCCAGAACAAGAGACTCCTGTTAGCCCCAGCTCTGGTGCCAAGGTTTAGATGCTTTATAAAGCACCTTTCCTACTCAAGATATCGAGACAGGGTCCAGGACACACAAAATGGGGTGTACAGCCTTGTCTTTGTAAACCATTTAAACACCAGCAGAACAAACATCATATAGACACATGTGACAAGGTTTTGTTGAGAGAATGACTGCAGGCTTTGCATCTAGGATTAACCAATATCTTTGCAAAAAGTGCCATAAAGTCTTTAACATCTACAAGGCAACTGATCTAATTTATCAGACTTCTAACAATGTAGTGACCTCCCAGTACTCTGTTGCACTGCTGTCGGTACTGATAATGAGACCTTAGTATGGGATGTGAATTCCTCGCTTCTGCTCCAGGGGCTGAAAATGCTAACAAGCCATACGGATGTCTCCTAACAGTGATAGTTATAACTTTTTTTAAAAACTACAATGGCCTCCAGTAGCTAGCCTGAGTTTTGGTTCCTAGAGCCACGTCAGACACTTTGATTTGTCAGTCCTCAAATTTCCTAGCTTGGCCATATCTAGTTACTGAATTTACAGAAGAATAGAGTTTCATAAACCACTAAAGTCACCAGTGCCTAAACATTGTTCTGTAAGAAAGCAGGAAGAAAAAATGTATATACAAACTTGCAGTAATTAGACTTCTTCCCAATATTCATGGGCAGGGAAGCCTTAAAGACAGCCTCTCCAGGAGGGAATAAGAAATAAACAAGCTCATGCCAGGAACTAATTTAAAAAGCCACACACCGCTTGATACAATAGTTGTTATTCTGCAGTATCTTACTGCTTACAGAAAGCAAGCAGAGATTATGTAGTCTTTAACCATCCACCCTCACGCATAGGGGTAAACAATTTGCAGGGGATGTTTTCCTTATAACAACATGAAAAATGTCTCCAGGTTTTTAAATCATGATTTAAAAATTGATTTAAAAAGAACCTGAACTACAGTCAGACATGAAAGAATAACATCCCTGTACCTGACATTTTCAGTGATTTCGGTGACACAAAAGAAAAGGCATAGATTACCATAACAGAACAGCAGAGGCATCGGAGATCTTTCCAGCTAAGTGTCATCTTATCTGTGGTGCACAGACTTTAGTCTGATACATATACATGTTTGTATTGGCAAGAAAATATACCCTCTATACTTTCCAAACAGCAGCCATTAATCTACAGAAATACCCACCCCAATGTTAAACATTTCCTGATCAGGGGCCTGAAAGGAAACAGGAAGCAGCATATACACATTTTTACTAGCCTCCCTCCTATTTCGGATTAAAAAAAAAAAATCTCATTTGCAAAGCCAGTACTCCACTAGGAATAGTTAATTTTTTCAAGGAAAATCATTTATGAGCCAGGTTTTTGTCTGTTGCCTGACAGATGTAGGAAACTGTCTACCAAACTTAAAAGCTACACTACCCACCAATTAAAATAGAAGCACCTTTCAACTCAACCCTCTAGTTATAACCTCTGTGTTAGCATGATTCCTTAGCGTGGCACTGGTATATATCAGACACAGCTCAGAGGTTACCAGTTACATTTGTCTCTTGCACTCTTTAGACAAGCCATGTCTACACTACCACTTTTGTCGGTATAACTTATGTCGCTCAGGGGGGTGAAAAAAACATACCCTGAGCAACATAAGTTACACCAACAGAAGTGCTGATGTGGACAGTGCTATGTTGGCAGGAGAACTTCCCCTGCTGACATAGCTACTGCTGCACGTGAAGGTGATTTTAATATGTCAACAGGAAAGCTCTCTCCCACCAGCATAAAGCAGCTACACAAGCCATCTTACAGTGGTGCAGCTGACCCAGTACAGCTGTGCCGCAGTAAGCTCGCTAGTGTAGACATGGTCACAGTGGAAAATACTTCTTGAGGCCCTTAGTCTACAGCCAGCTCTATGTGGGTGCAGAGCATGCCTGCGCAGAGCCAGTTACAAGATCAGGGCCTAAATTAATCATTTATGTTAAAATACCAGTTACAAATA